CAGGCATCCAGTGAACAGTTCTTTTTATTTTGGTTTTGGGGGGGGAGTCCGGTCGTGGGCCCTGAACTCTGGGCCTGGGCGCTGTCCCTCAGCTCTTCAGCTCAAGGCAAACGCTCTACCACTTGAGCCACAGCGCCACTTCCGGCTTTTTTCATTTTGCTTATGGGGTGCTGAGGAATCGAACCCAGGGCCTCATGCATGCAAGGCAAGCGCTCTACCACTGAGCCACCTTCCCAGCCCCTGAACAGTTCTTTTTAAAACTTTCAAAAATAAAAAAAAAGAACCAAGAGCCTCATTCTTTTTAAACCTTGTCAGTTTGACCAGCAAAAGTGAATCTTTTCTTCCATTTACCTTTCTTTTTCTTCTTCCCTTCCTTCCTTCTTTCCTTTCTTCCGATCCTTTTCTCTTTCTTCTTTCTTTCTCTCCTTCCAATGAGGCTCTTATTCTTCGCCCTGTTTTCGTTCTGTGGAGCCTTTTTTTGTAATGGGGTAGGGGAATTCCTTGCGTGGAGACCTTCTAGCATTTTTCTCTTGCTGTTATTCTTCTCTTTAATTCTAGTTAGGATATTTTTGCTCTGACAAAGTGGTTGTGCAACCTTGTGTGGTGTGTACACATTTGGTGATTGTCACCCTACAAAATCACGCAAGCAAACACTCCAAACAAAATTATCTAGCTCAATAAAACGATAGAAGGGGAAAAAAGTAAGCTCCCTATGGCTAGCTAAGGTAAAGTTCTCTCTCTCTCTCTGTGGAACAAGAGAGTCTTCCTTGTGGGTGAATTTATTTTCCCAAGATTCAGGGTCTCAAGTCTAAGAACCTTGGTGTGTGTGTGTGTGTGTGTGTGTGTGTGTGTGTGTGTGTGTGTGTGTCCTGGGACTTGAACTCAGGGCCTAGGCTCTGCCCCTGCACATTTTGGGCTCAAGGCTGGTGCCCTACTACTTGAGCCACAGCTCCACTTCCAGCTTCTTTTCTGAAATGTAGTGCTTCATTAGAGATGAGAGTCTCAAGACTTCCCTGCCCCTGCTGCCTTCAGACAAAGATCCTCGCAGCTCAGCCTCCTGAGTGGCTGGGATTACAGGCATGAGCTACCCGCGCCTCTTCTTTCACTGTGGAACACAGAGATGGCAGTGGAGAACGCCATCAGAACTTTGGAACTGAACTGTGTGATGGCATTCAAGGAGAGTCCAATCCAAACCCCAACTCTGGGACATCTTTGAGGGCAGAAGTCTCACTCAAGGGGGAATCAGAGGACAGATAAGTGGCCATACTCCTTGGTAGAGGTAGAACCTGGTGCAGGAGAGAGAGAATCTTAAAGTAGAACCCCAGAATGGCAATCCACAGCCCCCCCTAGCCTCCCCCAGACCTCCCCCCTCTAGCCTGAGGCCTGGTTGGGGAGGGAGAGGGAGCCGGTCCTCGGAAACTCATCCATCAGCTGGAGAAAGAGCAGAGTCGAGTTCTCGGTCCTCTGTTTGCTTTCTCGCCAATTATTGCCGGCCTCTGTGTGTTGATACAGACATTGGCCCCCAAAAGTGCTAATGTTCATTTATCAAGGGGGAACCCGCCAGCGACTCCCACAACTTGTGGTCCTTCCCCAAATATAAACAACGGAGGAGAAGAGACTTCCAGACAGAGTCCTTGTTGAAGATAAAGCCGGGGATAACGCGGCCTGACTCCGGTGGACCGGCTCTCCGGGTGCATTAATAATTCCTGCCTTTATCTTTCAATTAATCACATCTACTTTTTTCTCTTTTTTTGGTAAGGGATTCAGCCCGAGCTGGTTGCAGGAAGCCATTGCTTTTCAATTAATAATACTTTATTTGTGCACAGCGCACCCCTTCCCCAAAGTCTTAAAAGGCAAAGAAAGGGTTGCAGAGGTTTCTCTCCCTCTCCCCCCCCGTCCCTCCCCCCTTCTCCCTCCTCCCCCCCCCCCTCCAGTTTCAGTCTGTCTCCATTTGTGTCTCTCGGCCTTGCTCTGGTTGAAAGCTGTTTGTTTGTCCTGCGAGATGGGAAAATGTAAGTCGCAGAGAGATCGGGCCTGCTGTGGGAAAAATAAAGATGCCACCCCTCCAAAACAAACCAGGAAAGAGGGGGAGAAAGCCAGAGGATATGGAGTTTCGGTCTTTCTCCCTCCAGCCCACCCACCCCCAACCATGGCAAATTCTAATTTAAAAATCAAATTATACGTGTGTGTGTGTGTGTGTGTGTGTGTGTGTGTGTGTGTACACACTGCAAAATGAAGCATGAAATTGCTATTGGATAGTTTATGGTATTTTGTTGAGTATGGTTCCAACTTCTTCCTCCTCCTTTTCTTCTTCTTCTTCTTCTTCTTCTTCTTCTTCTTCTTCTTCTTCTTCTTCTTCTTCTTCTTCTTCTTCTTCTTCTTCTTCTTCTTCGTCTTCTTCTTCTTCTTCTTCTTCCTCCTCCTCCTCCTCCTCCTCCTCCTCCTCCTCCTCCTCTTCCTCCTCCTCTCCTCCTCCTCCTTTTCTTCTTCTTTTTCTTCATTATCGTTGTTATTGTTATTATTAACTATTATTATTAGGCCCCATTTCCTTTCTCTGGGAAGGCCCACGGCCTTTTCTGTAGCCTAAAGAATGAGCAGAATCATCCAGGGTGTAAAGAGGGATTTTTTTTGGGGGGGGGGGGAATACATCGAATTTTGTCTTCTTCCCCCTGCCCCATTTCCAACCTTACCCCATCCAAGAAAACAAACAAACAAACAAAAAACCCCAAAGATTTTCATCCATTTTTCCTGACACCTGACCTACGGCATTTCAGAGAGAGAGAAAAAAATAAGTGACCAATCCTCTCTTCTTTGATTTATAAAGGAAATGCTCATTGAGAGAGAAAGATGTTTCTTTTTCTTTTTCCAGAACTACGACTCCCCCCCCCCCCCCAAAAAAAAACCAAGAAACAAAAAAGGAAAAAGTCAGGCGGATTCCGGATGTCGCCTCCATGTCCCCCCCACCCCCTTTAAACGGTAATATTTCAGGCGAAGGTTCACCCTAATCTTTCAAACTGTCATCGCCAGCGGACACGGGGCGAGCGGTTCCAGGACCCCCGGCTCCTAGATCTGTCCAGAGAGACTTTTCGTTGAATCCGAGGCGGCTTTCGTTTGTCAGGTGCCACGGTGTGGACACTAAAACACCCCCCCCCCCCCAAATTAACCACCTTCACCCAGTAAAAACTCCCATCTAAAACTGGTTCCAAGCAATAAATAACCAGTGCAAAGCCTTGGTGAAGACAAAAACAACTCAACAACAACAATAAAACGAGGGATCTGGTCAGGGCTCTGTGGCTGGGGGGGTGGGTAGCCCCTTGGAGGGCAGGCGACTGGGAGTGAGGAGACGCAGCCTGGCACCGGTGCCCGGGGTCTGGGGGGAGGCGTCCGGGCGCTGTGCGGGCCCAGGCCCGGCTGGGGCGGCCCGTGCTCGGGAGACCAAGACTCGGGAGTTTGCGCACCGGGAGCTTCAGGCAGGAACGGATGCCCCGGTCGGCTTTGTCCCTGTGTTTCATGTGAGCGCTTCCTCCCGTCGCCCCGATTTGGGTGAGGATAAGTGTCATTAGCTAACACATGACGGGGTGCCATGAGCAAACCCCCCTTTTTTCTTTCTTTCTTCTTGGACCCCCAAGGAGCGAAAGCCCTCCCGGCCCCGTCCTCAGGCCGCAAGCGCAGATTGTGGGAAACCCAGGCTTTTCTTGGGCGGGCCATCCTCAGCACCCCTCAATCCTGGAGCGCCTCTGTCTGCTCTGAAATTGATCCCGGATTAGAAGTGTCCTGTCCCGCTTCCCGGCTCGTCCCGGCTCCAGAGCCGGTCCCCAGGGCGGCTCGGGGCGCGGTCTGTGCCCCGGGAGCTGTGCGTGACACGGCTCCGGAGCTCCGGGAGCCCGGGGAGCTGGGGAGCCGGCCGCGGCGGGTGGGCGGGTTAGCCTGTAGGCCTGGAGGGTGGTGAGAGAATGGGGTGACCGGACGATTGTCCCCAGGAGAAGCAGCGCGTGTCCAGGCCTCCTGGAAGACCGTTCTCCTGTCTGTGCGTGTCTGTACGTGTCTGTGTGTGTGTCCGTCGTCTGTGTGTGTCTCTGTGTGTGTGTCTGTGTCTGTACGTGTGTCTGTGCGTGTCTGTGGTCTGTGCGTGTCTGTGTGTCTCTGTGTCTGTCGTCTGTGTGTCTGTATGTGTCTGTGTGTGTCTGTCTGTACGTGTGTATGTGTCTGTGCGTGCCTGTCGTCTGTGTGTCTGTGTGTCTGTCTGTCGTCTGTGTGTCTGTGTGTGTCTCTCTGTATGTGTCTGTGTGTGTCTGTGTCTCTGTGTGTCTGTCGTCTGTGCGTGTCTGTGTGTGTTTCTGTGTGTGTGTGTCTGTGTGTGTGGGGGGATACATTTCTTTTAGAGGAGAGTCAGTCGGACAAAATTAAGAGCTGAGGGAAGGGGTGAGTGGGAACGGGGCCAGGTGACAGGGCTCAGGACCCCGCTTTGCTCGCGAACCCCGCTGCTGAGATGATAACCATATATTATATACACACATATATAAAGGGGGGTCACCCCCGCCGAGAGCGGCGCCCCCCCCCGGGGCGTCCAAGTTGTGGGTTCGACTCCCCCCCTGCCGCCTTCCATCTCAGCGTCGGAGGCCGACATCTGGGGAAGGAGCTGGACAGGGCTTGACACACTCGGACCGGGCCCCCGAACCCCCCCGAGCCCCCCGGGTCCCCGATACCCCCGGGTCCCCCTCCCCGGGCCCCCCGGGGCTCCGCAGCCGTCCGCGCGGGCCGCGGCGCCTTTAAGCCCGGGCGGGGCTCCGGTGGTTCTCCATTTCCCGGCGGGATGACTATATTAGGTGACACCCCGCGGCCCGGGCTGGGGGCCCCGCCCCGCCCCGCCCCGCCCCGCCCCGGGACCCCGCCCCCGCCGGGGCGCCGGGCCGCGCCGGGCCGCTGCCCGCGCCCGAGCCCGGGGTCGCGGGGGCGCAGGGCGCCATGCGCGGCGGAGCCGGCCCGGGGCGGCGCTGACCATGTTCCCCAGCCCCGCGCTCGCGCCCACCCCGTTCTCCGTCAAAGACATCCTGAGCCTGGAGCTCCAGCGGCAGCAGCGGCGGCAGCGGCGCAGCCCGGGCCCGCCGCCGCCCGCGCGCCCCGAGCCCGCCGCGGCCCCCGCCTGCATGCTGGCCGCCGCCGCCTTCCAGCCCGAGGCCTACGCGGGGCCCGGGGCGCCCGGCCTGGCGCACGCCGCCGCCGCGGGCCCCGCCTCGCCGCCCGCGCCCGGCGCCCCGGCCTGCCCCGACGCCCCGGCCTTCTACCCGCGCGTCTACGGAGACGCGGAGCCCGCGCGGGACCCCCGAGCCGAGAAGAAAGGTGAGGGCCCGGGGTCGGGCACCCCGAGACGATCGCCCGGGTCCCCGAGTGGGGAACGAGGATCAGGGATCGGAAACGGGGGGACCCGGGGTCTCCCGGCACGTGTCTCCACGTTTGTCGTTTACATGGGGGCCTGGGCGGCCCCCCACTTCTTGAAGCCCGGGGTGGGGGGCAGCGGACCAGGCGGCGGGGGGAGCTCTAGCTATAGAGGGTTAAAATTAAAACCCCGCGTTGAACTCAGGGGTCTTTCATTTTACATTTGTTATTGTTATTGTTGTTGTTGCTGTTAGTTATTATTGTCTCCAGTTGCACCGAGAAGCTCCCGGTGCGCAGCACGGTAGCTGAGGACAGGCGTGCGGCCCCACGGCCACCACCGCCCCTCCTCAGGGGTCTTTTTGTTTGAAGAAATAAAGTGCACAGGGGATGAGGCAGGAATCAGAGCCCGCGTGCACACACGCACGCACACCGCACACACGCACGCACATCCCCGCACACACAACTGAACGAAGGCGTCCACGATTTGTCCCTCGCTCTGGCTTCCCCGGCCCCGTCCTAGCGTGGCGCGCTGGGCCAAGTTGGGCCTTAGATTTCTCACGTGAAATGCTAAGGAACCTGATTTCCCTGGATGAGGATGAGGATGAGGATGATGGTGATGGTTTGCCAGGCACAGTTTCCAGTCGGGACCCAGGGACTCACCCATGAGACCATCCACTTCGTGTGTGCCTCATCGCTAGGCCCGCGCTTCGCCGCTGAGCTACATGCCCGCCCGTGTGTGTCCTTTGCTTGCTGTTTAAGCTGAGCAACTATGAAGTCGTGCTAAAATAATATACCCGCTAACACGCAGATGACGAACCTCATCATTCATAGCCCTGTCTGCGAGCTGCGCCAGCCAGATGGCAGAAAAACAGCTCCTTCGCCGGGTGCCCCGGGGCTCGCGCCCGGCTTCTAGCTATTCCGGAGGCTGAGATGAGGAGGATCGGGGGTTTGAAGCCAGCCAGGACGGGAGAGTCCCAGAGCTGCTTTTTAATCCTCCAATGAACCAGCAAAAGAAAAAGGGGCGGCAGCAGCAGCGGGACTGGGGCTCGAGCAAAAGCAGCTCTCGGGGAACAGAGTCCAAGCCCAGATTTCAAACCTCAGGACACACGCGCACACACACGCACACACACATTAAAAAGACGGATGATTCTAACCATCTACACAGACATCCGGGATTAAAGCAGAGAGCTGCAGGAGGCGGCCTTCTTGGGGACGGAGCGGGCTATCCAGGCTTTCCACCGCAGGGAAGGAACTTGTCCTTTTCCTAGAGAGAGAGACACAGTGGGGGAGACCCAGGCCCCCCCTGGGAATCTTCACCACCAGCCCAAGGAAGGCCAAAGGGCAAAATGGCCAGGGAGAGGTGGACAGCGAACCCCTCGATTTGCCCAGGGGCAGAAAAGGAAGGTGGTGAGGGGTGGGTATCAGCCACGCTAGTTTCTAAGATGTGAGGTGAGGTCCTACTGAGTGGGCCGCGCACCGAGTGCTTGCGAAGTCGGCCCTTCTGCAGCTCTGGGCCTTGAACTCGAGCTCGGAGCCGGTTGGTTTTTAGGTTCCTCGATTGTGGCTAATGGGAGCTCGCCCCGCCGCCCTGGGGCTCTTTAGTTTTAGGACTGGGCGCCCCTCCTCCTTCACTCAAACCCTTCAACCCCGCAGCGCTGCCTGTGCGGCCCCAGAACCCCCGGCTTTGACTGTCTGTCCTTCTGTCGGTCGTGGGGCTGGAACTCAGGGCCTGGGCGCCGTCCCTTGCCTGGTCGCTGGAGGCTGGCGCGCGCCCATCCGATCCACGGCTCCAGCTCGGCCTTTCCGCTGTGGTGGTTTTTAAGGGTGAGAAAACTCATCGGAACTGGATGGAGCGAGCAGAGCAGACACAGACAGACAGACAGACAGACAGGGGAGAGGAGGAGGAGGCCGCGCTCACGCTGTGGACACCCCCTCTTTCTTTCTTCTTCTGATTTTCCCTGGCTCAGTGGAGATCCGCCTCTGGTGCACGTGTCCACGGCCTAGGCTGGCTTTGAACCGCCATCCTCCGGATCTCAGCCAGGCGGGGACCGGGGGGGGGGGGGCTGGCGTGTTGTTCAGGGGGTGCAGGGTCCAATTTGGATGGGGTGAGTCCTCCAAGGAAGGGTAATGGGGGGACAGAACCCAGGGCGAGACACACCCGGGCCCCAGGACCTGACCTAATAACCACAACAACAACAACAACAACAACAATAATAATAATGATGATCAAGTTAACCAGGCAGCCGGGGGTGAAGGAGGAAGCCGCCGCAGGTATCCTCCCGGGGGTGGGGGGGGGTTGCCGGGCCGCGGGGGTGGGGTCCCCGCCCCCCCGCTGACGCCCCCCCCCGCCCCGCGCAGGCGCAGAGGCGGAGCGCGGGCGCGCGCGCAGGCGCCGGCGGCCCCGCGTGCTCTTCTCGCAGACGCAGGTGCTGGAGCTCGAGCGGCGCTTCAAGCAGCAGCGCTACCTGTCGGCGCCGGAGCGCGACCAGCTGGCGGGCGCGCTGCAGCTCACCTCCACGCAGGTCAAGATCTGGTTCCAGAACCGGCGCTACAAGTGCAAGCGGCAGCGCCAGGACCAGACGCTGGAGCTGGCGGGCTTCCCGCCGCCGCCGCCGCCCGCGGGGCCCGCGCGCCGCGTGGCCGTGCCCGTGCTCGTGCGCGACGGCAAGCCCTGCCTGGCCGAGCCCGCGCCCTACGCGCCCGCCTACGCCGGCCTGGGCCTGGGCGCCTACGCCTACCCCGCCTACCCCGCCTACCCCGCCTACGGCGCCGGCGCCGCCCCGGCCTGCGCGCCCGCCGCCTTCCCCGCCGCCGGCCCCGCCGCCGGCGCCCACGGCGGCTTCGGGAACTTGGGCGGCGTCGGGGACTTGAACGCGGGCGGCGGCGGCGGCGGGCCCGGCGTGGCGCAGGGCGGCCCCGGGGTGTCCACGCTGCACGGCATCCGAGCCTGGTAGGGAGGGGACCGGACGCCACCGGGGAGGGGCTCCCTCAGCCGCCCGCCCGCCTGTCCGTCCGTCCATCCATCCATCCATCCATCCACCCATCCACCCATCCACCCATCCATCCATCCATCCATCCATCACATCCACCCATCCACTCACCCATCCATCCATCCATCCATCCATCCATCCACCCATCCATCCATCCATCCATCCATCACATCCACCCATCCACTCACCCATCCATCCATCCTTCCATCCACCCATCCATCCATCCACCCATCCATCCATCACATCCACCCATCCACCCATCACATCCACCCATCCATCCACCCACCCATCCACCCTTCCATCCATCCATCCACCCACCCACCCATCCATCCATCCACCCACCCACCCATCCATCCACTCACCCATCCATCTATCCATCCATCCACAAATCCACCCACCCACCCATCCACTCCATACATCACATCCACCCATCCATTCACCCATCCATCCATCCACCCCTCTATCCATCCACCCACCCATCTACTCATCCATCCACACATCCACCCATCCATCCATCACCCATCTATCCATCCATCCTCTCATCTGTCCACCCATCCATCTATTCGTCCATCCACTCATCCGTACAAAATACATCATTCTATCCTTCCTTCTTTCCATCCATCCATCCCTTTACCCACCCATCCACCCATCCATCCACTCACTCATCCACCAGTCCATGTATCCATATATACATACATCCACCTACCCATCCATCCTCCCATCCATCATTCTATCCTTCCTTCCTCTCTTCCAGCCAAGCCGCTACCCACTCACCCATCCATCCATCTGCCTATCCATCCACCCATCCATCCATCTACCCCTCCATCCCTCCATCCACCCCCCCCCCATCCCACCGCTCCAGAACAGGCCCCGGGAGGTCTGACCCCGGAACAGTTCCCTCCTCCGTCCATCCCCACCTGCACCCCCCCCCCCACACACACACCCGAGCTTTCTGCAGCGAGCAGAGGAGCGGTCGCGGCTGGTTCCTCTCCCCTCGCCACCGGCCAGAGAACCGGGACCGGGGCGCTGGCCTGAGCTCCACCGCGTCCCAGCCCCGGGCCTCGGCGCCTGCCCCCCCCCCCCCCCGTATTTATGTGTTTACTCGTTGCTGTGCCGCCGGGCCTGCGATCCTTTGACCCCCAGCGCGTTTCCAAGGACATTTGCGCCAAGCGGGCAAAGCCAGGATGTGGTTGATAATAAAAAGTTACTCGCCCCAGGCCCTTGTCACAGCCTGTCTGGGATTATTCCCTACCAGCCAAGGGAGAGCCTAGTTTCTTTGTACTTGTAGTTGATTGTGTGTGTGTGTGTGTGTACACACGCGTGCACGTGCTCGCAGGGAATGAGACGTAAACTCTCCGCCTTGGTTTCTCCATTCCAGGATTGATTGATTTATAATGGTTTATTGGAGATCAGAGTCTCACAGACTTTCCTGCCCGGGCTGGCTTTGAACCACAATCCTCAGATCTCAGCCTCCTGAGCAGCTAGGATGACAGGCGTGAGCCACCAGTGCCTCGTGAGAAAACCTATTTGAAGGTGTATTTCTGACACCGCTGTGAGCTGTTTTCAGGCCACACTGGTCGAATGTTACTAGATTTCTCTTGCTTCAGACAAACAGAGCTGCCCAGAGCTGCCAACCCGCGACTTTGAATTCTAACATTGCCTTAGAGCTGCCGAACGGAACGGCCCATAAGCCATCTTATGCCAGCCGGGCACAGTGGCTCCCGCCTGTCATCCCAGCTACTCAGGAGGCTGAGATCTGAGGATCGCGGTTCAAAGCCAGCCTGGGCAGGAAAATCTGTGAGACTCATCTCTCCAATAAACCACCAAAAAAAAAAAAGCTGGAGGTGGAGCTGTGGCTCAAGCGGTCGAGCGCTCGCCTTGAGCAAAGAACAAGCTCAGAGACAGCATCTAGGTCTTGAGTTCAAGCCCCAGAACTGGCAATAACAACAACAACAATAATAGTAATAATATTAAACCATGCTAGCCATCGGGGTGCAAGCTATGGTGGGCTGTCTCGTTTTTGTTTGTGTGTAAAATGGAGAACAAAAAATCACCTCCTTCAGAGCCCAGAGTTTGTCCCTGGATGTGGGGTTTGCCAGCTGCACCCCAGGAGACCGGAGGGGACCCCGGCTAAGACTCCCTAGGGCAGTGAAGATACTGCTGGGTTTGCCCCGTGGGCCTGCGTGGTTTGCTTTTGATTTTTTTGTTCCCCGTGGCACTGTCTCCCTACCTTTTTCCACTCAAGGCTTGAGTGATTTATCCCAGCTGGCTTCCAACCAAACCCAGAGCCTCCTGGAGTGGCTAGGATTACAGGCGTGCGCAACTACCCCCGTCCATCTTCTCTTCTGGTGAGTGAGTGCGCCCCCAGCCCGCCTGGGCTGGTGTTTGCTGGGCTGCAGGGAGGTTAGTTAGTACCAGACTCTGGATTTTAGAGGCCCCCAAGGTGCTGGGTAAAAGATGCGCGTGGGGGTCTCCCAGCCCCAGGTCAGGGCTCAGCGGTGCAAGGTTTGCAGAGTCTGCAAAGCGGAGTTCACACCGCCTTAGAGACCCGGCCGGGTCACCGCTGGGGGGTCGTTCAACTCAGCAGGAGCTTTTCCTGTGCTAAGCTCAGCGCCCGCAGAGCCTGCAGCCGGCCTCCGACAGCACTCTCCGAGACTAAGGTAGTGCCCACCGCACCCCACCATCCCCGGGAGTGCGCCATCACCTGACCCCGGTGTGCTTCCCGTGGTTCACGTGGATCACCGCAGCTGCCCAGGAGGCTGAGGTTCTGAGGCTAGGGGTTCAAAGCCAGCCTGCGCAGAGCACTCAGAGGGATTCTTACTTCCAACGAACGAGTAAAACGCCCGGAGTGGAGGCGTGGCTCAAGAGGTAGAGCATCAGGCCTTGAGGGAAAAAGTCAAGCGAGAGAGTAGAAGGCCTGGAGTTTGAGCCCCAGTACCAGGGAGGGAGGGAAAGAAAGGAAAGGAAAGGAAGGAAGGAAAAAGGAAGAGAGAAAGAAGGAAGGAAGGAGAGAAAGGAAAAGAGGAAAGGAAGAAAAGGAAAAAAGAAATCAGTATTTTGTTCAAGACCCTCCTGCACACTTTGCCCTCCCCTCCCCTCCCCTCTTCTTCCCTTCCCTCCCTTCCTTCCTCCCCTTTCCTCTTCTTCCTTCCTTCCTTCCTTCCTTCCTTTCCTTTCCTTTTCTTTCTTGTTGCTCCTGGGGATTGAACGCAGCGCCTGCGTGCTTTCTTTTCGTTTTATTCTTTCAACAGCCATCAGTGCTCTACCATTGGAGCCACAGCTTCCCTTCCAGCTCTTGCGGGGGGACTTTTGCTGCCCAAGCTGGCTTCACCCCGGCCCCGTGTTGCTCACGCCTTCTGCGTCGCTGGGATTACAGGCATGAGCCGCCAGCGCTGCCTTTCCATTTGCCTGCAGGGACATTACAGGCAAGATCTCTGCATGTTATTTCTCCTGTGTATCTTTTTGTTTGGGTGTTCATTTGCTGTGGGGAGGTAGGTGTGTGTGTGCGTGTGCACACGCGTGTGCGTGCACCCTTGTGCCAGTCCTGGGGCTTGAAGTTAGGGCCTGGACACTGTCTCTGAGATTTTTCACTCAAGGCTGGTGCTCTACCACTTGACTTTTTCTACCACTTCTGGCTTTTCATTGGAGATAAGTGTCTCAAGGACTTTCCTGCCCAGGCTGGCTTTGAACCTTGATCCTCAGATCTCAGCCTCCTGAGTAGCTGGGATGACAGGCGTGAGCCTCCAGCACCTGGCTTTGTGTGTGTTTTGTCCTGGGGGTCAAACCCAGAGCCTGCCTTCAGCAAGCGCTGGGTCTCTGAGCTCCTTCCCCAGCTCCCGTCAGTCCTACCTTTCTGTTCCTGGTTAGTCTCTCTGTTAGTGACCCCGTGAGTCTCTTTGAGTCTTTCTCTAGACCTTCTGGAAGGGAGTGGCTGGCTGGTGTCCGCAGGGAGGTGGCTTAAAGCCCACGACCTCTGGCCAAAAGTAAAATCCCATAATCTAACAGCTCTTCACCCCCAAACTGCAAAAATACCCCCCAACCGCCGGCCCACAGTAGAGCACAAACAGGGTCCTGTTCAGCCCCTTGAGATAGACTCTCCAGTAAACCGGTAGCGTGGAGGGTGGGCAGGTACAGTAGCGCATGCCTGTAATCCCAGCTACGGGAGAGACTGCAATCTGAGGATCGCGGGAAAGCCCCCGGAGACTCTTATTTCCAACCAACCAATTAACCCGGGTTTGCAAAGCGTTAGTTTCCCCCTGATAGACTAAATGGGTCGTGGTTTTGTTTTAAATTATCTTTGTTATACAAAAGAGTGGTCATTTAACAAAGCAGTTTATGAATGCAGCGTGCCTTGAGCAAGCTCAGCCCTGCAGGTTCCCATCCATTCCCCCCTTTCTTTATTATTGTGTGTGTGTGTGTGTGTGTGATCAGTATTATAGCCTATAGCCAGGCACCGGTGGCTCGTGCCTGTCATCCTAGCTACTCAGGAGGCTGAGATCTAAGGATGGTGGTTCAAAGCCAGCCCAGGCAGGAAAGTCCCTGAGACTCTTATCTCCAATAAACCAGCAAAAAATCCAGAAGTGGCGCTGTGGCTCAAGTGGGAGAGCACCAGCCCTGAGTGAAAACGCTTAGGGACAGCACCCCGGGCCCGAGTTCAGGCCCCAGGACTGGCAGAAACAGAACAAAACGAAAAACAAAAAACTCTAGGCACACAAGCCCAATCTTCTTTGGCACAGATTTTGCTAAATCAGAACGATTCCCCTCCCCTCCCCTCCCCATCCTGGGTCTTGAACTCTGGGGCGCTGTCCCTCAGCTCAGGGCGAGCGCTCTACCCCTTGAGCCACAGCGCCACTTCTGGTTTTCTGGTGGTTCATTGGAGATCAGAGTCTCATGGACTTTTGTGCCCAGGCTGGCTTTGGACCACGATCCTCCCGATCTCAGCCTCCTGAGTAGCTAGGGTGACC